TCTTGCGTCCTTCCAAACCTGTATGACTTTCTTTCTTCTGTGGTACACAAAAGGAGTAAAAAAACCAACAACAAAAAACATCTTTTTTTGTCCATACAATGGAGGTTCAAATGAGTCAATGAGGTTCAAAAGTTAATTGGTTGATCCTATTGACCTTCATTAAACAGACAAAAACAGTTCTTCAGAATATCATCTTTTGTGTTCTACTGAATAAAATGGAAGGACATGAGGGTGAGTAAATGATGACAAAATTTCTCTAGCTTTTCTCTGGTAGATCATTTCCTTATTCCTAAAAATTCTTAAAAATGTTCCCTTCGTGTTTTACAAACTCCCCAGATGCGTACAATAAATTTTATATGCATTCAAGCGAAATTCAGTCAGTGCTCATCTCTGATACGCGCAGGAGACTGTGAGCTGTAACTGTTTTTGTACTCATAACAAAGGTAAGAGGCCAGGGGAGTGGACGTTAGATGCAGTGTAAAGGATGAGACTGAGGAGAGAGAGAGAGAGAGAGAGAGAGAGAGAGAGAGAGAGACAAAGATCCGTTCTAGAGACTGTTTGAGTGCCTTATTAAATATTTAGTCTGATTGTACACGGTCCTGTAATTGCCATCTTGGCTAGTGAATAATTGATGACGTGTAGGAGAGCAAAGGAGGGCCCCAGTCTCTCTCTCTCTCTCTCTCTCTCTCTCTCTCTCTCTCTCTCTCTCTCTCTCTCTCTCTCTCTCTCTCTCTCTCTCTTACACACATATCCACACCTTGCCTTTTTTGTACACCTATATTGTTAATATAATCTTGTCCTCGTTAACTAAAATGATTCTGAAGTGAGGAAAAAATCTGTGAAATTATATTATAACCTCTGGTTTGTTTCCGGAATGTTCTCTGCTATCATACACAATAAATTATAGGGATGTGCTAAATTATTGCCAGAAACTATGCATGTGGGTTTAAAATAATTTCACACAGTTTGCTACATTCAGAGGGCCAGAAAAAGCAAGCGAGTTTTGATTCCGCCTTTTCCGATACAGTGAGGTAATTGGATATCAGTCAGCGTGTTGAGAGAGAGCCGAACGTTGTGAATGGGACAAAAAGCATCCTGTTAATCTGATGCAGAGCCTAGAGAGCGATCGCCGCCCGTCTTAAGCATCCCAAAGAAAGAGCATCTTTTCATAGAAAGCAACGAGCGCTCGCAGCAAACGGTGGCTGAGAATTGGAGCAATGGCAGCTTTTAAAAATACCTCTGCTGAAATATTGATTTTTTTCTTCTTCTTCTTCTTCTTCTTCTTGCCTAACATAATAAGTGAGAGACTCCAGGGATGTGTGTGCGTATGTGTGTGAGACGATGGGTGAGACAGAGATGCTCTTTTCACACATCATGAGGACATTTGTGTGTGTGTGTGTATATGCGTGTATGTGTGTAAGAATGTTTGTGAATATGTACATGTGTCTTTGTGCAGGTACAACAAGTTGTATTGTGAGCTATAATGATACACTCTGGTGAAAAAAGGGTTCTTTATTTGAGATATTCTACACATTAAGAAGAAAATGGTTATTTTAAGAACTGTTCACCGAAATTGGACCCACTGTTTGGACCCCATTGGTTCACTGTTATTTTGGAGCCCACTCACTTTCATTGTATAGGTTAAAACATTCTTCAAAATAATGATGACAGAATTTTTATTTTTGAATGAACTATCCCATTAATATATCCTTTTTTCTTCTTGATACCATGAAGACAGAATAGAAAATCTCCAGTTTATCAGATTTTTCTCCAAAGCCACTTGTAATCTCTTGTAAAGTTTCTGAAGAAATTTCGACAAAGTCTCAAACTGTGCTCAGATTTGATAAGTCTGCAATGAAAAGTTCGAAATCTTCTTGAACTCATCAAACTATTCAGAGACCAACTTTATCTAAGCTACAGTCATTTTAAGACTTAATACTTGTCTCGTTTCTTTGTATTTTATTTTCCCTATGGAAGTTTAGAAGACAAATACATAACTGAGTCTATGAAAGGGTTACCTTGGAGCAAATAATTTATATTTCATATATTCATATGTTTGGTTTTATAATCATTTTCCCAGATTTACATTTTGGTCCTTTTATGTCCTCAAACTCTCAGATTTCACCTTCATACTGACAAATGCACATTGCCAAAACATTTGTTTGGCAGTATCACCCATAAAACAACTCAAACTCTATTTTATGTGCATGTACTGAAGAGTTGTAAATGGTCAGGTGGTCTGACACAGCTAAAGTCAGGTTTAGATGAGGGCCTGCCATACGGCTTTTCTCTGAGCTAAAAGCGAGAGACCCTGGCCTTCACAGCCTGAAGCCCACCAGCCCTTCCCTCAAGTTAGAGACAGAGCGATGGAGTGAGAGAAGTGTAAGGGTGCTGTAGACCAGCAGTAATTCCTGATTTGGAGTTGGAGGCACATTAGGGACTGACAGGGCCACACATCCCCTGTAATTGATTGCAGGCCAGCGTAATGAGGTGACGGCTTACAACAGAGACGCCAACTCCCTCATTATCTTTACCCACTTTTTTAAGAGCAGAAAGAGAGAGAGACAGCAAAAGACTGAGAGAGAGACAGAGAGAAGGATGGAGAAAAAGAAACACTGAGACTAATAACCGAGCCCTGGCTCTAGAAGGTCATTAATTATTTATGTTGTTTTAATAAGTTTTAGATGGGGAGGGAGAGGTTCAGCGTGAGAGTTAGTCTTTCCCTTCTCCGTCTTTCTCTGTCCACACCTCAATTTCACCTGTTCTGTCATTCTGTCTTTTCCTATAGCTGTCTGTCCATTTCATACTGGGGTCTTTGTATCACAGGTACAATATCAGTCATTGCCAAAGCCTCGAGGGGACTTCAGGATGACATGTATCCACACTTGGAAATGAAAACACTCTGTATTTCTGAAAGTGACAATGATAAGATATATGTATATGATATATGTATATGTATACATTGTATATGATATATGATTTCTTTTTTTTGCTTTTATTCTGTCATTGTGCTAATTAGCAAGGAGAATGCTTTTAAATAATTAATTTTTTGTATAGTGATGAACCTATATGGGTTTTGCAATAGTCCAATGGCCGATATAAAGCTGATATATAGGCTATAACAGAATTTTCTATCATTAGACACTTTTTATATAGATGTATTATTATTTATATTTTTATATATTTAATATATAAAAATATATATTATATCTAAAAATAATATAAATATGAATTATGCATATATAAAACAGTACAAAATACATTTATATTTAAGTGTTGCGCAATATATAATACAATATAATGTATTGCAACACAAATATAAATGGATACCAATTATTTTTTATTATGTTGATTGTGTGCTCGTATATATATAAAATGAAATAGCAAATGTTTATTATATAATGCAATATTATATTTGAGAATTGAAACATCTATTGGGTGAACAGAACAATTGCCCCATTAAAAGTCAAAGATGCTGTCGATAGAGCTTAAGTTGCATTTAACCCAGAATATTCCTTTAAAGTCTGCTGGTTACACTGGACTCTTTCAGAATCTGCCCTGCTCGGTCCTTTCCACTCGCCCCCGTTTTCCTGTCTGAGATCTCTATTCCACCCCGAGCCTTGTCATCTAAAAGCAGCTCTACCCCCCCTCATCCCGCACACTTCCAAACACTGGGCTAGTCCTGCCTCGATCCGAAGGGAGCCGACCTGCTTTGAAGTGCTGCCGCTTTTCCAGGATGAGACCTGGAATCTCACATTCCCTGTCAACTCCTGCCCAGTGGCAGATGGAGAAGTCTAGACCTACGAGACTCTCTCCCGTCACGTGCTCCTCTCTCCCCCTCCATGCCCTCATCTCTCTCTCTTTCCTCCCCGTGTTCCTTGACTCCGAGGGCTGTGCCGTTCCAGAACCGCCAAAGCGGGACGGGTTTCAGCCCACGATCCAGGCAGGATTCTCTACTTTCAGATGGTGACTGGGGCGGTGTATAAACACAGTACTCCTCTAATATCTGAGAAGAGCTTCACTTACAGCCCTTGTCTCCTGCTGTGTTTTAATTCAATCCTTATTGATCCATATCTCTCCTTCCAAGGACTCCAATATCATATGAATGGAGCTCAGGGATGGGTTCCCCATATTATTGTATTCCATGGCCATAAAGGGCATTAGCAGCCAACAGAGCAACCCAGATCAAGTATCAGTCGATACTAGCTAAAGAGAGCAGGCTTTCTCCCTTTCTCTCCATCTTTCTCGCCGGATTTCTCTCTTTCCTATCTCTATCTGGGCGTTTGCTGTAAGAGCGCTGATGGGGTTAAAGTATATATAGTGATTATGTCATGCGGTAAAGTGAGATTCTAAGAAATCGCTTGAGTTAGCACCGTGTGTTTTTAAAGATATTGTTACTGTCTTATTAGGGAGAAATCAATGGCGTCTGCAGATGGCGGCCATTTATATAGCAGACGAGGCTTCTCTCGCCGCTTTTTCTCCCAGCATCCTTCTCTCCGCACGCTCTGTGGGGCGGCAGCGGCGGAGGTTATCCTGTGGTTAATGTGACATGGCTGTCTGCGACCTTGCTGGTTGTTAACTGCCCGGATTATTATTGTGATAATGTGGCAATTAAAAGGAAAGCACTCCATCAAAATAGTGGGGCTTATGGTCCTGGAGATGAATGCATAGAGATTACCAGCCAGGGGAAATGCATTAAGACTGCAATCCATTTCGTACTGTAGCCCACCTCCAGCAGCGGAGGCTATTACGGCTCATCTTCATTGATATCTATTCCCGATCAATAGCGCCAGGCTGAGGTAAAAATACGAGTAAATCAACAAAGCTGGAGCTGGTCTTCAATATAAAGGAAGAAAAATCAAACATCATCTCTAATTGCACATCATACGTCTATACCGAGTGTCTTCTCTGAGCCGGCTTTGAGACTGGGCTAAATCTCTCATTGAGTGTTTTCATTGTGTTTGAGTCACTCAAAAAATGTTTCTGTCTTTCTTTTCCAGATTTTTCCTGAAATTCTTCCTCAAGTGTAATCAGAACTGTTTGAAAAATGCAGGGAACCCCAGAGACATGAGGCGATTTCAGGTGAGAATACAAATGTGCGGACAAAAACAATGTGGTTGCATGCACACAACCAGGGAGTAATCACGCTTTGGTGTCTCCGTAGGTGGTGGTGTCCACCACAGTGAATGTGGACGGCCATGTCCTGGCCGTGTCAGATAACATGTTCGTCCACAACAACTCCAAACATGGGCGGAGGGCACGACGCCTGGACCCTTCTGAAGGTAAGACGCAACCTTCACCAAAAAATACATGTTTTTTTAACTTTCTAATTATCAAAGAATCCTAGAATAAGTTTCCACAACAGCACTACTGTTTCCAACATTTATAATAATTGAGCAGCAAATCAGCATATTAGAATGGTTTCATGAGACACTGAGGACTGGAGTAAAAATTAAAATGTATTCAAATGGAAACGATTTTTTCGAATTATAAAACTGTAATTTTGATCAAATAAATGCAGCCTTGGTGAACATAAGAGACTTAAAATCTATTCAAAAATCACCCCCAAACTTTTGAATGGTAATGTAAGTTTGAGACCCCATTCAGTATAATAAATGAGGAAAGCCAAACTCGTTATTGTTACTTTCAACTTCCTCACCTAGTTCTAGAGTACAGGTAGTCTCACATCTGTCTATCTGAAGGGGCTGCACTGGGTAATGTTGCTTTGATATGAAGTGATAAAAGTTTGCGCAGAACATCACCTCCCAGCTGACCTCAGAACAGTTCCTGTATTTGGGAAAACATGTGATTAGCTCTGTGACTGTTTTGTGTGAAAACCGTCACTGTGGAATCACCAGCACTCCTGTGTCCCAATCGAGGACAAGGAAAGTCACTGCTCTACTTTTAGTCACTCTTCAGTAGTTCTCCAAAGACCAGAACATGAAGAGGAAGTCACTGATGGCGATGCATTGTGGGAGTTGTGCAGGCTTTCATCTTTAACACAATAGAATACCCATGCAGATATTGTAAAAAGGAACAGCTGTTCCTTTACACCGCAACAGGTGAATGCAAATTACGCCCAAAGATTGTTTACTTTCATCTATTCGTTTTCACATGTATCAAAATTCCCTCTTTCCAGAGATTTTTACTTATGCAACAAAGAGAACAATCAAAAGCAATAAGAACTGATTTAGACCCTAAAGTTTGGGATCTTTGCATTCCCATAATGCCGTTCGAGTAAAGTGGCCGCTGGTGTACAGCACAATATGCAGTAATGTGGTCTGTAGTTGCACCAAGAGCCCCTTGGTTTGCCTGTTAGCTCACCAAGCTGCGACCAATCAATTCCCGTCCATAGCCAGTGGAGACTGGGCCAGTCGTTCAGTCAGCCTGTCTGTCTCCATACCGCCTGCTCAAAGACGGATTTACGATAAAAGACCAAAAAAAAATCTTAATGGTTTTATTGAGCTGAGTGATGCACAGACACCAAAGGAAAAACAAAACAAATGAGCTTTTACAGTCATCGGACTTCCTGTTTATCAGGTTTTCTTTTCTTTTGCATTGAGAGTATGTGTAGAGTAGAGTAAAACACTGGTAAATGGTAATTTGTTTAATGATATTGTTTCCCAAATGTTGCATGAACCTTGACACCGACCCGCTCTAACCTAGTGCTTGTGTTATGATCTTGTTTTCCGAAGCAGCCACTCCATGCATTAAGGCCATCAGCCCTAGTGAAGGATGGACGACTGGGGGGGCGACCGTCATCATCATTGGGGACAACTTCTTTGACGGATTACAAGTGGTCTTCGGCACGATGCTGGTTTGGAGTGAGGTAAGTTATGAAATTTAAAAACTTTTGAAGGATAATTATTTTATTTTTATTTTATTTTATTTTATTTTATTTTATTTTATTTTATTTTATTTTATTTTATTTATGTATTTTAATTATTTTATTTTATTATTTTGGGGCACATCAGACATTTTTTATTTATTTTATTTTTTTATTATTATTTTTATAATTTTTATTTTATTTTATTATTTTGGGGCACATCAGACATTTTTATTTTATTTTATTTTATTTTATTTATTTTTGTATTTTTTTGTATTTTTTTTATTTAAAGCCAAATCATTTTACTATTAAACATTTAATTATTCTTTAAATATTTCTTTTTTATCTTTCTTTCTTACCTTTCTATTTCTTCAAAAGAATACAGTCCTTTTTGACTTGGTACTGGTAGGCCTACTGGACATGGGTTTAAATAAATCAAATTTGTTTCAATAATGTAAACACTCTTACATTTAATGTTTAATATTACATAAAACTTTACATTTCAAGTTTGAGAGATAAAAACCACAGCACAACAGATCCCACTATATGATTAAAATCTATAACCGTGTCCTTGAGTAACGAATCATTATTTAGTTTGAGCATTAACTGTGTTAACATTGGAGACAATGCTTGTGTATTGAGTACTGACCACTGAACGTGTGCTCCGATGGCTTCTAGCTCATCACACCTCACGCTATTCGGGTGCAGACGCCCCCTAGACACATCCCTGGGGTCGTGGAGGTCACACTGTCTTACAAGTCCAAGCAATTCTGCAAAGGAGCTCCGGGACGCTTCGTCTACACAGGTATACAACACTTTGCAACTGCCTGGAGCCATTGCAACCATCTCCGGCATCAGAATACATTTCTGTCATCTTTCTCAGAGGTCGATTTTTGCATGTGTTCTTTGTCCGTTTTATCGAGTTCCTGCCTTTGTTAGCTTAAAATACTAGGGCTTGTATGCTTTGCTCCCCGTAAAGACGCTTTCCCACGATGTTAGCAGGTCATTCTTGACTCCACACAAGCGGTCGTGTCTTTACTTTTGGCTGATGTCCGTTCTCCTGTGTCCAACAGGCAGGACGAGTATCATTTAGTCAAATCAATGCTTTTCATACGATTATTCCATCAGAATAATCCAGATGCCAGTCAAAGTAGGCGAAAGGTCAGATCTAGGACTGTTTGGTGTGATAAGAAAATGTCACAGCGACGGCCATAAAAGAGAAAGAAAGTGTTCAGGCTTTCTGTTATACATCAGCTTTATCTCAGTGTATTTCCCACGTTCTTTGTTCAAAGCGCCTCTCATTCAGATGCATTTGCCATGTAAGCAGCAAAAAGAGACAACTTTACAATAGAGAGGACGGCCCTGTCTTACCTTCGACCATTCCTTTGCAATGCTAATGTCTGCCGGACCGACGAGATGAGTTGACTGACAGCTGTTCACCGCGTCCGCATTGTGAATAGCTCGAATTTTTCTTAAAGTTCAAAAGAATATTCTCAGTGCAATGAAAGCCTGTTGCAAATTGTAAAGATGAATGAAAAAGGACCTGTGGAATATCTCTGAATCAGAAGGCAGAGACAAAAGTAAATGTAAGGTCATACAAGATAGAGGACAATGAGAATATATACATGCACAAATTATATATTTCTCTATAATAAATGAAAAAGAAATATAATATAATACAAAACTACATTATATATATAATTACACACACACGCACGCACACACTCACACACACACATATGTATATACATTGTGTGTATATATATATATATATATATAAAAGATCAATATTTACCAAATAAATAAGTTAAATGGGTGTATATATATATATATTAATTAATTTATTTATTTAGTAAATATTTATATATTTAATAGTACTATCTTCAATATTAATATAATTTCTTTGTTATTACATATATCATTTATAATAAAAACATAGACTATATACATACACTTTTTTTTTAATATAGCAATTCCTAGAAGAATATAGTTTGGAGACGGAGTGCCTAATCTTTCTGTTTCTCAAAGTCATTTTCATTGTACGCTGCAAATTAGATTCACACATACATATTTTAGTTTGTGGATGCACTGACATACATCCAGCAACTTATTTACTGTCCCAGAGATGTGTGATATTCATGAATGTGAAATGAAGCGGGCTTTTAAATACTAAATAGGCAGACTGTACATAATTGAAGAGGAATGAGAGTGCATCTAACCTCAGTGATGTCTTTCCCACCAGAGATTTCACATAAGCCCCAGTGAGCTCAACTTTACACAGCATTCCAGCAAAAAAATAAAAATAAATACTCACTCCTTATCATCAGACACTTCCAAATGAACACAAGCCAGTTTGAATATTTTGAAAGAGATACATTTAGGTCATCAGAAATTAAGCGTTCAGGCCTTAGGGATTGGGAGGGGGATACGTACATTGGCAAAGGAAACTGGCATCTCTGTGCAGACACACATTATTTTTATCATATTCCTTTTATCTGCTTTTCATTAGCAGTAATGGACTCCAGAAATTCATCAAAGATGGTCAATGTGCCCATTCCACTGATTATAGGTTGACTGTCTTATCTTTGCTGGAGTGCAAAGCCAGAGCAGCAGTGTTCAGCATGTCTTCTCTGATACCACTGCCATTAACACGGCCATCACAGGAAGTGATCTCACAGTCTTCAAACTGAAGCATCTGGGGCCGGTAAAGAGATAGTTCACCTCTCTTCACCGGGGCTTGATACAATTCAGAATTTAGTACATTAGAATTTATCAGTTCGAATTTTGTCACATGGAATTTTTTATTTAAATTGGACATGCCCTACACAGGATCTTATATTGGGATAACAGGAAAAGGGTTTTACTTTCCAGGTCACAGAAATGTAAAAAAATCAAATTGCAATTCTGTATCCTGTTTGCTACCACATCAGTTCAAATTGAAATTATGTTATTTAATTGCTATTAAAGGGTTTCTCAGTTAAATTCTGAATATCACACAACTCTACTCAGCACCTGCTGGCTCTGGCTTTACCATGTCTAGCTCTACAGGGAAATGTCAAAGATTTGCTATGTCCAAATTCCCTGAAAGCATTTCATGTGTGGCATGGGCTAGTTAGGACATCTTGTTAGATTAGCAGAATGTTAAGTCCATTCTCACTTTCAGTGTTGCAGCTGGTACCTAATAACTATTACGGCTCTGTTGCTTTCTCACATTTACTCTGTTCTCTCTTGCTCTCCCTTCGGAGAGATCTTCACTCTTATTCTGTTAGTTCTGCTTTCTGCCTGCATGCATCATTAAGTCCTTCAGTCCACCAGCTCATGTCTCTCTCTCTCTGTCTGTCTCTCAGGGGGTTAAGACTCCCCAGGTGTTGGGTTAGAGGAAGGAGGGCGAGATGAGTGTGAAGAGCCTGAGGGTATTGACTTTCCTGGGAAAACACAGCTCTCTAAAATCAGTAGCCAAATACTGCAATAACTCAACAGCCATTGATCCTCTTTCCCCTACGGCCACATTGATCTATACATTACAAGCTCTGAGACTGGCGGCATGGATCCAGCCTACGCTAACACCACCCTCCCAATAGCCAGTAACTTACTGCCTCTGCCATTATAATCATAATAATAATACATGTGACCAGAAGTGATGTACAGCTAAACGACAGCACATCGTACCCCTGGTTTGCAAGCGTTCAAGCTGTATTTGGGGCATCTAAAAGTCAGCATTTGATTTGGCCTTTTGGGTATACCATTTTATTTGATTGCATCAGTCAAGGAGATCTACCAGAAATAAAACTTGTATCTGAAACATCCTCTCAACTTCCTGAAAGGGGGAGGGCTTATATTCCCTTAGAGATGCTGCATGCATTCCAAGCAATTGCACAATATCCTAGAAACAGAGGCTGAGAGGATACTGGAGGTGCGGGACTGTTAATATGAAGAGCGCTGCTCTCCTGGGTGCCAATGTGCCTGTCAGAACTTGCCTGATGCTTTCCAGGCTGACAGCCTTTGGCATTGCAAACAAGAGCTGTAGCATCTTTGCTGGGTGAGACCTTTTGTGTAAAAGATTCAGGGGTCACTTAAATAGGGTGCTGTGTTACAGAATGGGCAGGGACTGGGTGTACTACCTCCCCGACCAACTGCTCAACCCATTCCCGGTACCTTATTTCAGCTGGTTTGAGCATGAATTGTAGAAAAGGGGTTGTTTTGTGAAGCTAATGGCTGTCATTGTAGGTTAGGCTGGCGTGGTCCCAAAGGTTTAGGAAGGGTGTATTTGTTTTTTTGGTGGTAATGCTTACTTTAGGTTCATATTGTGTTATATTGACTTGCAGCTCTGTTGATGGGATAGTTCACCCAAAAAATACCCAAAGCTCTATGACTTTATTTCTTCTGTGGAACACAAAAGTAGATATTTTGAGATATTGGCACTGTGCTAAGTATAAGTCAATTGGATCCAATGTTGTTCTTTTGGATCCCAATACCTTTCATTATACTGACAAACAGTTGAAACATTCTTGAGAATATCTTCAGGTTTGAGGAGGAGAGTCTAAGAGAATTGTTGGGTGGAAGAGACTAGGGGAATCGTTGTAAGGGTGGGATTGGATGTCAAAGCTACACAACAAAGATTTTCTCAATCTAGCTATGTAATTGCCACAGCCTGGGGCCCGAAGAGTTGATTGGAAAACCACGGAGCACCCAGCTGGTATGAAACTTAAAATCATGGGCTGGATTTGGAACCTGCTCGCTGTGTTCTCACATCAGCCAGAGGTTCTGGCGCCATTCACTACATAAGCTCTTTAATACTGGCACTAAAGCTTAATGGCACAGGCTCTGTGGATGCAGTGGCTGATGTTTCTCAAAAACCGTTCCCATAGCCTGAGCTCAGAGAGGGACCAGGAGCAGTTCACTTGTTGCACAAGCCATGGAACAATGGGCCACTTTGTTACCTTTTCATCCTCGGAGCGGGCAGATGGAACACATTAGCGGAACGTTCCACTGGATGAGCTCTGCAGGGCTGCCGAGCACGTAGAACAGGACCCGGCATGATGTCATCATTTCGTTCAGTTGTTTCACAGCTTGGACGCCGATGTATTTGTGAGTCTCGCACTAGGAGGTGGTCTGTCAGCAGTATCCTCACTGTGGCATATATTGGTGAGATACTTTGACAGTAGCTGAAGTACAGCCTTTTAGTGGAATCCATAACCAGGCTATTGGCATGCGTTTACTTATGTAATGTCCAATTTCAAATGTTAGAAAAGCAGAAACATCATCATTTTTCTTTCTTTCTAACCAAGCAACATAAAGAGTTTGTCAGGAGTATTCACTAATTCATATTTTTGTATTTGACAAAATGCTAAGGCTGTGCTGAAACAACCATACAGTATATTGACATATACGTACCACCATGCTTTTTCTCATAATATTGCATTGATACTTTAAGACTTTGAATCAATATTTGTTGGTGATGCACCAAAATAAATGCTCGTAATGGAAACCGGAAATTATTATTTAAACTTATAATAATTATTATTTAAACAAATATTTTTTATAAAAAAATATTAAATTGTATAATTATTTTTTAATAATTTATAATTATTTTTAATAATAATTTAAAATATTTAAATAATTTTGTATTTTTAAAATATTGCTCTTTAACTCTGTAGACATAAAAACAGAATTCTTGGTAATAAAACATTTTTTACACTATAAAATGCTTCTTTGACATTAAAAGTAAATAAGCATAAACTCTGAGACTATGTTTCTCAGTGCAGTCAAAACCACTCTGAGGTTCAGAGAGATTGAAACTGTATT